TTAAATTACCCTGCAAATGTTGTGGCCTGATGATGATTTGCTGAAAACATGTGTTTGCCAAGTTGACTTCTCAACTTAAGAATGGGAATATTTGCAGAACTTAGACAATTCCTACATTGTATCCGTCAGTTGCGTTCCTATAGCACACCTCAAACCCTATTCTGGCGGGATTATAGATGCCTGAATTCCCCCTCTCATTCTTTACCGCTCTCCGGTTATTTTTCCAGCCTTGCTTAAAAAAGACTTGTTGATTTTTAAACGCATCCGCCGAGTGCTCTCTTCAGCTCTCTAATATGCTATTTTTAGCTGATAATATTATACAGCGACACCTTAAAACGGTCAAGCGATTTGTTGATTGCATTTTTAATGAGGTTGTCCAACCCCTTCACTCTGAATTAATGGCCGCGAAGTCTTCCCGTCGAAGCTTCCGGCATATATTCTGTCATACATTGGCATATCAACATTGTGCACGGCCATTCCTAGCACGCTACCTCACGTATAAGAAAACATGAATCCAGACTGGACCAGTCCCCATAACAGATGTGTAATTGATATAAAACTCTAGATGTTTGTGCATTTTGTTGATTTCTCCCGTGGGCTCAGTGAATGGAGCCACTTTTTGATGAACATTTTGGATGCACCCTTCAAAATAAAGTGTATTTCTCTCTTTCTCACTCTTCCCCAGTTCTCCCAATAATAATACTTACTAATTATTCTTTTTTAACATGCTTTTACCTCTGCAAACGGGATCTGGCTTACAGCGCTCTGCAGATCCATCAGCCAGGGGGGTTAATCTAATTTGAACACGACTCCCAAGTACAGGTAGTTGGCAGCGAGTAACTCACCAATGATAGACTGCTGACGGGTCCCGCAGTGTCCACGCGCTGCCAATCGGACGCCCGGGGTTCCGCGGGCCCCTCATTGATTGCGTACTCGACCGAAAAATGTCTATAGAGAACTGGCGCCGGGGGTCTGCGTCGATCCAGAGATGTCTGCACAAGTTTATCCGGAAGTGCCCAGGTGACCCTTGTACCGGCCGAGGCGCCCAAGTTGACCGCCTCCACAATCGTCGGTTTTGCAGGCACTTTAGGGCGTAAAACAAACGAGCATTACTGCATATTCAAATAAGACACACGAATGAATATAATTTACCCTTTTGTAGTAAGGGGATAGAAGACGTAATGGTGCGAGGTCGAGTATGTGGCGCCATCTAACTTTGACGTCTAGTAACGCTCTACTTATGTCATTGCCTTTCGCTCATCCTCCGCTCACGCCTCCCCAAATTGCTGTCAAGACAATTAGTGTTTGGTTTAGGATTAAGTCTAGGGTAAGAGAGTCAAGGATTCGAATTCAAGGTCAGGATTAAGAGTGGATGTTAGGGCTGTCCGCTAGAAAAGTGCGTTTAGGATTAGGAGTATGCTTCAGGCACAGGTTTGGGGCTAGTGGCTAGATTGTCAGTTCCAGTTATATCTTCAAAGAGAGCCATCACGAGAGTCGGATTTAGCGATAGATTCTCCACACCGACATCACGGGCTGAGTGTCAGTTCCCCAGGACCATGTAATCACTGCCCTCTATTTGAGTCTTTTCCACCCATTTAGGGCTCCTAATTTCCGGTATTTCAAATTTCGCATAGGCTATTGGTTTGTTTAAACAAGTGAAAAAGTAGACAACATTCCTCAGCTGCACTCGAATGGCTAATGCGGAAACAGTAACGATTTCAGTCTGTCCTTTGTCGAGATCCTTCCTGCTATTTGATAGCCTGGCGGCTTTCTGCCCAGCCCGTCGTCATGATGCCTGTCATACATTCAGAGCTCGGTGGCTCTAGAAAAACA